ACAGATGCAAGAATATATATATACATATATATGTATTTAAATAAAAAGAAAGAACAGTAAGATATATAATCCGGTGTTCTTATAGATATTTTTATTTTTACAAAATAGTGCTCAATGTAAATTTACAGAGCATTAATATTATAAATTAATTGATTTAAAATATGTTTTTTTTTTCCACAGAAATAAAACCATATTTTAAATCAATAAATTTATAATATATATATATATATATATATATATATATACAAATTATACTATGTACAATTTTATTATGCAAGTCAATATTTTCCCAATAAAACTGGTATTACCCAAACAATAATTAGAAAAATTTCAAGATATATTTATATTAAATAAGTTTCTACGAGGCATAAAATGGAGGATCCTTTTTCTATTATTAGGTAATAAATTTATCCATCCTAGAATTATGGCAATGTCAGATTTTATTATGCAAGTTAATGTTTTCACAATAAAATTGGTATTGATCAATTTATACTTGGAAAAATTTCAAGATATATTTACATTGAACAGTAATATAAGTGTCTACTGAACATAAAATGAGGGATCGGTTTTCCATTCCTTTTAAGTGATAAATTGATCCCCCTTAGAATTACTACATTATATCAAGTTATGAAAGTTGGTAGTTTGTGTCTTTAGCCATTGTTTTCTCTCTGTGTACAGTCATAATACCAATTCTTTGGGCACCTCAATGTGGTGTAATGGTTAGCAAGCTTGTCTTACTAGAACAATTACAGTGAGTTTGATCCTCACTGGGTGCCCCATACTTTTGGCCTTGAGCCACATCTAAGCTACACTTAAAAAATCACCATAATACCAATTTCTTCAAATATTCTCTTGATAGTCAATCCAGTTTTTGTGCTTATTATGCTTTTAATTTTTCATAAACCTCTTTTTTGTGACATGATTAAAGCAATTTTTTGTCCTTATCTTGCTGATATTTTCAATTTCTTTTTTGATTATTCTTTGATCTTTGTTCAATTTTTTTTCAATTTCCAATTTTCATTTTTGTAGGGAGAAGAAATTATCATAAAAAGTGTCAAAAGAAAGTCATTTTTTTTTTATCTAAGACCATATGAATATACTGAGGCATACCAGCAGTAAGTGCTTGAATCCAAATAAGAAGCAAGCAAAACCATGTCCTTCTCACTTATATTATCTATTTTCTGTTATTTGACTTTTGTGCTGTATGGAGTTAAGCTCAATCAATAACAAAAATCATATATATATATATATATATATATATATATATATATATATATATATATATATATATATATATACAGTGTATCAAAAGTGAGTACACCCTCACATTTCTTCAAATATTTAAGTATATCTCTTCATGGGACAGCACTGAAAAATTACCTTTTGACACAATGAAAAGTAGTCTGTCTGCAGCATATATAACAGAGTTAATTTCTTTCCCCCTCAAAATAACTCAAAATATAGCCATTAAAAGCTAAATCCCTGGCAACAAAAGTGAGTACACCCTCAAGAAACTACACCCTAAATGTCTAAATTGAGTACTGCTTTTCATTTTCCCTCCAAAATGTCATGTGACTCATTAGTGTAACTATGCCCATGTGTTCATGGGGAGCAGGTGTATTCAAATTTGTAGTGCAGCTCTAACACTCTCTCTTACCGGTCACTGAAAGTTTCAACATGGCACCACATGGCAAAGAACTCTCTGAGGATCTTAAAAAACATATTGTTGCACTACATAAAGATGGCCAAGGCTACAAGAAGATTGCCAACACCCTAAAACTGAGCTGCAGCACAGTGGCTAAGATCATCCAGCATTTTAAAAGAGCAGGGTCCACTCAGAACAGGCCTCGGGTAGGTCGTCCAAAGAAGCTGAGCGCACGTGCTGAGCGTCACATCCAAATGTTTTCTTTAAAAGATCGGTGTAGGAGTGCTGTTAGCATTGCTGCAGAGATTAAAGATATTGGGATTCAGCCTGTTAGTGTTCAGACCATACGCTGCACACTACATCAAATTGGTGTGCATGGCTGTCACCCCAGGAGAAAGCCTCTTCTGAAGGCAATACACAAGAAAGCCCGCAAAGAGTTTGCTGAAGACATGTCAACAAAGCCCATAGATTACTGGAACCATGTCCTATGGTCTGATGAGACAAAATTTAATTTGTTTGGTTCTGATGGCCTTAAGCATGTGTGGCGGCGACCAGGTGAGGAGTACAAAGATAAGTGTGTCATGCCTACAGTCAAGCATGGTGTTGGTAATGTCATGGTCTGGGGCTGCATGAGTGCTGCAGGTATTGGAGAGTTACATTTCATTGAAGGAAACATGAACTCCAACATGTACTGTGAAATACTGCAGCAGAGCATGATCCCCTCCCTCCAGAAACTGGGTTGCAGAGCAGTGTTCCAGCATGACAATGATCTCAAACGCACATCCAAGACAACCACTGCTTTACTGAAGAGGCTGAGGGTAAAGGTGATGGACTTGTCAAGCATGTCTCCAGACTTGAACCCAATAGAACATCTTTGGGCCATACTCAAGCAGAAGGTGGAGGTGTGCAGAGTCTCAAATATCCGCCAGATCCGCGACGTCGTCATTGAGGAGTGGAAGAGCATTCCAGAGACTACCTGTGAAGCTCTGGTAAACTCCATACCCAGGAGAGTAAAGGCAGTTTTGGATAATGATGGTGACCACACAAAATATTGACAGTTGACATGTTGTATGTTAATATTGACAACTTTTCCTAAGGGGTGTACTCACTTTTGCTGCCAGGGATTTAGCTTTTAATGGCTATATTTTGAGTTATTTTGAGGGAAAAATAAATTAACTCTGTTATATATGCTGCAGACAGGCTACTTTTCATTGTGTCAAAGTGTCATTTTGTCAGTGTTGTCCCATGAAGAGATATACTTAAATATTTGAAGAAATGTGAGGGCTGTACTCACTTTTGTGATACACTGTATATATATGTACACCAACACACACATTTACAGTCACTAATATCTAGTTATCTCATTTACCTAACCTAATACCTATATCTATCTATCTATCTATCTATCTATCTATCTATAGATATATATATAGATATAGATATAGGTATTAACGGTGAACTTAAGAGCAAGATGGATTTATTATTTTATCGAGGTCCCACTCCACATTTCACCTCAAGGTCCTGGAGTCCTTGTATATCAGATCTCGTGAGCCTTCCCTTTGTAAACAGAGGGAATGCTTGCTGGGTCTGAATATTATTGGACTCTAGTCCCTTGAAATTCATAATTTTTTTTTTTTTTTCTCTCTCCCCATTTAATTACATTCGTTAATTAAAATTAATTTACACGCTTTTAAATTCCCAGAATAAATAACTTGATAAGTCCTGGGATGAAACCTATATATATATATATATATATATATATATATATATATATATATATATATATATATATATCAGGTCATCCCATAAGTTTTGTCTGAATTTTAACTTCAAAGAACAATGAAATTAAATTTTGTTTCATTAAAACCCTGCTAACATGGAAGTACCCAAGAATCATTTGAGGCACATAATGCTTTATGAGTTAAAGAAAGGAAACTCAGCAGGCAAAGCAGCTAGAAACATTCACTCAGTTTATGGAGAGGAATGTGTGAATGAAAGAACTTGCAGAAGATGGTTTCCAAATTCAGAGGTGGAGATTTCACCCTTGAAGATAAAGATCGAACTGGATGTCCAGTTGAGTTTGATGAAAAGATTCCTGAAGCAGCCCTTGAAGAAAATCTTGCTTTATCAGTTGAGGAATTGGCAGTGGTTCTCAGTTCAAACCATACAACTGTTCATCGTCATCTTCAACAACTTGGAAAAGTTCCTAAACTTGGAAAATGGGTGCCTCATGAATTGTCTGAAAACAATCTCAAATCCTGAGTTGACATCTGCTTTTCTCTCCATTCTCGCCAACTTGTTTTGCCTTTTTTGGATAGACTTGTGACTGGCGACGAAAAATGGATCTTTTATCGAAATTTTTAGCATCGTAGACAGTGGCTTGGTAAAGGGGAAGGACCCCAGCCACAGCTGAGAAGGGAACTTCATGGGCAAAAGGTTCTTCTTTCAATCTGGTGGGATTGCCAAGAAATAATCCACTTTGAATTCTTACCACCTAATGCAACAATTAATGCTCAAATATACTCTCAGCAATTAAAGCGTTTGAACCAAGCTTTGAGGAAAAAAAGATCTGCTCTAGTGAATCGAAAAGAGGTGATGTTTCATCAGGACAATGCGCGACCCCACACAGCAAGAATCACGTCACAAAAGATCGAAGAACTTGGTTGGGAGAAAATTCCTCATCCACCTTATTCTCCCGATCTTGCTCCTTCAGACTACCATTTTGAATCATCTCAATAATTTCTGGTATAAAATTTTTGGCTTTACTCTTTATCTGCTTTCTTTTCCTTTCTTTTTTCTTTGTGGATCAGTTGAATATTTTTATAAGGCCCAAATTCTCACCCCCTCAACCTTAAAATAAATGGAAATTTAAATAAGTTTAAAACAAATTCAAAAGAGCATAAAGATCAATGGAAACCGTAATGATAAGAACAACTCAAAGAGATAAAAAGAGGCCATCATGGACCTTAGAACAGAACAAGAGATATAGATGTGCTTAAACAGTAGAAATAGATGGTCGTAGAACACATAGCAAGAATAAGAATAAGAGGAATAACAGATGAAACAAAAGGATTGGGAACCAATAAATTACAAATATAGATGGAGAGGAACCAATGGAAGATGGGTGAGATCATGTAGTTTATTTTATTAAATATCGGATTAAAACACTTAATTTATGATTATTTAAGATTTTTATTTTTAAAATTTCTTGATCTAGATATTTAAAAAAATTTATTGTATTTTGTTTAACAATGGGGATACAGAACTCCTGGACCCATACCTGCTTGTAAATGATCAAAGATATCAAATTCTAGAGTTCACATCAGTTTCAATAATTTTGTTCATGATAAAGGCTTAGGGCCATATCATATTGAAACACCAGTTCTTGTATGATCACTGAAGTTAAGCAACGTCGAGCCTGGTTAGTACCTAGATGGGTTACCGCTTAGGAATACTAGGTAGCTGGCGTAAGGTATAATGGCTTGGAATTGGAAATCGGCAAGCTTACTTCCAATACAAGTCTGGTTAATTACATTCACTTACATGCAAATACCCTTGATAAAGGTATGAATTCATCTCTTCTCCCTCTAGCTATACATCAAGCCTGGTCAGTATCTAGTTGGGTCACTGCTTGAGAATGCCAGGTGCTGTAAGCATGGATGTGCAGGTCATGTAATGTATAACAGCTCAAAATTGGAAATTGAGAACCAAATTTCAATTTGAGTCTGATTCATTATATTCACTTATGCACAAATACCCTTGGGAAAGGTATAGATCCACCTCTTCTCCCCACTTCTATGGGTTACTTAATAGGACTTGTATCAGTAAATCATTATTATGTTCAAAACTTCTTACAATCAAAAAATTACTTCCGCTTCTTTGCAGGTTAAATAACCCGCAAAAGGTTATTTAACCTGCAAAAGGTTGATAAACTGTAAAAAAAAACAAATCAATCAGTCAGTCAATCTTCATGATAAAATGTTTTACACAAACTGAAATATAATAATTCCACATCTTCCATTCATTGATTGGTTGGTTGATTTTGTTTGGCAGCATATCAACACCTCTATGGGTTATTTAATGCTGAAATTTAAGTATTTTGTACATAATTTTATGCTTTCAACTACAGATATTTTGTACAATTTATACTTTCAGAGTAAAGGTACGTTTTTTTAAATATATAGTTTGTAAATCGTAAAATGTATTGTTGGTAATTTTACTATAAAAATGCATTTTTTGGTGTTGCATTGATCGTCATTTTACTATAAAATGTATTGTCACTCATTTTATTATAAAAACGTACTGTTGATTTTTATTTTGAGGACTCACTATTTGTGCATAGCTGGGACCCTAACAGGTGCTACACCACTGGGTCAGGGTAGACCCGGGAATAACAGCAGTTAAGAGGTGGTTCCATGCTCCTCAAAACCTCCAATCAGCCAATCAGAGTCCTTAATGCTAAATATATTTATCATCATACCCAGGAAGATCTTCCATTCATAGCCAAGTCAGATGATATTAGACATGAAGATTAAAATATATACAAGCTTTCTACATATAAAAGTTAGGAGCCCCATTATATGCAAAATTTTGTTGTGAACAAATATAGGATATGATTATATTCAAGAAATTAATCCAGAATTATGAAACAATATTCAAATTCTATCTCATTTCGAGAGAAAATAGTTTTTATTGTATTATAATGAGAGGGGGGTGTTAACACGGCACCACTGGGTGAAGGACCTCCTTGACACAGATTATCAGCCAGGGTAGAAGGGTTCATCAGATGAACTACAATGGTCACATATTCACATTAAAGGTGAGTGACCTAGTTGGAGGACATTGGCTGTGGTCTAACCTGGAGGGGGATGGGCTTCGCCAGGTTAAAACGCCTAAGACACACCACATGATGAGCATACCAAGAAACTATTTGCAGAGACCCAGGCTCTGGTTCACAACTACAACAGATGGGGGAGAATGGTAGACAGTTCAGTATGTCGACGTCCTAACAACTCCTTCCAGAGTTAAGGATGAAAGGAGAAGAAGAAATGATGGTTGAATATTATCCATAAGCTCTTTATAACTCAAAGAGATAACTCAATGAATAATGGGTGTTGATTGATAACATTGTAATTAAAAGTCCTGTTATGAATTTTGTCCTTCAAAAGGACTTCTTCAGACTAACTAATATATTTATCTATGGAGTCATATATATGTAGTGGGAAGGAACAAAATAGTATTAATAGTAATAATAGTATAACATATAACTATATAATATATAATATTTAACTATAACTATTTAACTATGATATTTTTCTTATAAGTCTCTAGCAATGAATTTGTCGTAGCCTGTTGGAACTCCAATTAGTTAACTCAAATGGAAATGTTCACTTTGACATTCCCAGCTCATATGATAAAATCAAACCTATATTTTATCTGTCTCCCACTTCTGGAATAATGTCCAAAAATATCTGACCAATCAGAAAAGGCATACATGGTTTTTCCCAGCATCCATTTCTGAGCAACTGACTGACTATAAAGCCAATGCTGATTTCACCTGCAAAGGCAGATCTGACCAATGACAGACAAGCTTAACATTGTCACCAGCAGCAACACAGAGGTGCTTCCATCAACAGCAATACCTCCAGCCAATAACAAAACCAGCAGCAGAAACTAACTCTTGACTACTACAATGTGATAATTCATGGAATATTTCTCCCATGTGTCTATCTCACTTGACTAGATATGTGTGTTGATTTTCTTCACGTTTATCTCGACTACTACCTTGAACGAACTCTCAGTCTCTCACAAGTGATATACAATACACATAAACAAGCAGATGTAAATCTCAGGGAAATAAAAACTCTGCTACTGGCAGAATAAGGTTAATATATGTAATGCATTTCAAAAGATTAAATATATTCCAATTCTTTTTTTCTTATTTCAGATCATTTGTGCAATACATTTTGTTTTTGTAAACAAAAAAGCTTATAAAAGATATATGAAATTTTTTGCAATGCAGGTCCCTTTGAACATTTCTAATGCATTCAACCGATGACATTTTCTGAGGCTACTTGATTTATTTTATTTGTTTCACTTGAAAAAAATTAGAGATTCCAATTTTTCAAAATAGAAATCCAAACAATTTTTTATAGACTTCTATTCAAATTAGTGAGGAAAAAAATAACATAAAAAACTCCTTTGGTTTTATTGACTTAAATAAATAGAGGAATATATCTTTTTTAAATTTATCCTTTATTTAAAATTTTATTACTTAAACATCACTTTTAGTGGATACCCATATTTGAGTAGTCAATCAGTTTATTTATTAAACAGTATATTTATTTATTTCTACTGGCCTAAATATTCAAGAAGTCTTATTAAAGAAAAATATGTATTCCCCGGCAGGATTTGAACCTGAATCCCCTTTGGTCAGAGAAACCATCATTAGATTCAACATGCTTATATTGAGTCAGTCACAGAGTGTGCTACCAATCAAGCAAAGCTGATTAATGCCTTATAAATACAAATTTTTCTCCAAATCTTAAATCAATCATATCTGTTCAGTTTTATATCCCAATATAAACAAAGCAATTTCTAAAGAAGTAAAGGATTCCTTTATTTATTAATCTGACAGATTTATTTACCTAAATGTCACATTTAGTGGATATCCATATTTTAGTAGACACCCCTTTTATTTATTAAGCAATATATTTTATTTTCATCTACTGGTCTGAATATACAAGAAATCTTATTAAAGAAAAATATGTGTTCTCCTGCAGGATTCGAACCTGTATTCCCCTTGGCAGGAGAAACTGCTGTTAGATTTTTTAATCAATTATTTCTTATAACTTTAGTTTCACTGCAAGTAGATAAAAATATATTTACCATAGTTATTGTTATCCATGTTATTGATTTTTGCAATCATTTGCCTGGACCACAGCTTTTCTTTCCAGTTAAAAATTGTGCAAGGCAATTTGCTTCAAGAATTGACTTTCCTCTGTCAGCAGAGAAGGAATTAAGGTTAAAAAATATTTAGAAAAAAAACTAGAAAGGCATTTGTTCAACAAATAGCCATGTGATAATTCATTTATTTTTATCCATTTAACACAAAACTTACCTGAAGCACATTTCATTTTAACACTTTCAACTTAAAAATAATGAAAGAAAAAAAAAAGTTTTATTTTATTTTTTTAAAATCAATTTTTAGTATGTAAGATTTGTTGGTTTCACATTTTCTCTGGTAAATGAGAAATTTTAAATGATTTTCTCCAATGGAGTCTTTTGTCTATACTCCTAACCTTAATCTGAAAATATCACATCTCTAGTTTGAAAGTCAAGATTAATGTTTTCATAAAACAGGTTTAAAGCCTTTGCGATAAGATGAGAGCAGTCTAAAAACACAACTATCATTGACTTAATTTTACTTTGATGTGATATTGCATGTACACATAGTTTTTGTGAACTTATTTTCTTCAGAAGTCATATAGTATTAGCAAAGTTTTACTGCATGCATAAAAAGATTTTTTAAAAATTCATAATGCTGAATAAGCAATATCAAAACTATGCATGTAAGCAAAAGGAAAAGTATTTTCATTATTCAATATATTATTCAGGATATTGGTTTTAACAATATTCAGGATAATATATTGGTATTTCTGCTGTTCAGAAGTTTGTAGTGATAAAAAAATAAATAAAAAAAATAATATCAAGGATACCAAAATTTCACTATTTTTAAAAATAGGTGTGTATTCAGAATCACTAGCCCATGAAGCCATATTTTTACCAACCAATCAGAAACTGGCCTTGCCAGGATACAAACATCCTAGTCTAATGAGCAAATCAGAGACAAGAGCTGCTCCTAACCAGGATATAAAGTCATTAATCATGAGCAGCCAAGCAGCATTTTTGAAGCGGATCTCTAGATATGTATATAATGAGATGGAAAGTTAACCTAAATTGGAATCGACGAAATAATTTTATCCATTCTCCGATGTGCAGCTGTTACATTTAAAAACTTATATAGTTTCTTTTGCCCACATTGTTAATCAGGTGGTTATTACATTTGAATACATATATACATAGGGGTTAATAGCCAGGATTTCTAGCTTTGGTAGGTGGCCAGTCTAGGAGAAAAAAGGTTCTGAATTCAAAACTGTTTTGGCATGGATCTAGCAACTTCACTCTATAAAAGCCTACTTGCTATGAAAACCACAGCCCCAGCACCAAGTATGATAAGGTTGTGGCCTTATATTGCAACAGGTGAGTCTGTAGTGTTAATAACAACAATAACCTCTGTCCTATAATAGATATGACATTTAATATATAAAATATGTATGCAATGGTCACAACTATTAAGAGACAAATGTTTAAAGGTATAGATTTTCAATATGAATTTTCAGTTTATTTTTTAAGCATTTTATTTAGAAAAAAATTCAGTAGCAAATTACTTTTTAAGATTTTTTTT